CCATTTGTTAATACTCTCTCAAATGCAACTCAAACAAACAGACCTTGCACGAGTTGGCTGCTTTTGGGATCTACGCACACAGAGAAACAGAAGACAGGTTCTAAAACGTATCCGGAATCACATAAAAATGTCTAACTTCACAAATGCATCGTAACAAGAAGTATCACTTAATATTCATTCCTTTGTACATCATGAGCATATAGTAAGCCGAGAATTGCTTCCTGAGTTTCATAAAGCAAGTCAGTTTTTTAAGAGTCCAAAAAAAAGCAGACACATGCAGATATTCAGAAACAGATGAACCGCAAAGGAGGCTAATGACTCAACGCTTCTGACACTGAGCAGTGGGTTGACTTGGTTTTAGTTCCTGGCGCACGCAGAGGTTCAAGTTGGAGCTCATTTTATTCAAACTGGTTTTCCCACCATCTCTGGTTACATCGTGACAGCACTCCCACTACCGTGCCTCAAATACGAAACACGCTGCCAATGCTTTTTATTGGATTAGAGAAAAGAGACTGCAAGTAAACATGTTTGATATCCCCAAAGAGCACATCTCTTTTTGATTGTTGTTTTATACCGATGTCCCTTGCTTTCTCTTTCTTTGCCTCCCCCTCTGCTTTCCTTCCTCCCTCCCTCCCTCCTCCTTTCTCAAAGGCTCTTTTGCTTACATGGGGCTAAACTCAGACAAGACCATACTTCTTTGCTGCCAGCTATTTTTGTGAAAGAGGAATCTATACACAGTGAGAGTACTTGTTTTACTGCTCATTTGTTTACAACTAGGCCCAAATAGCTGCAAGTATCACCTACCTTTTGTCTATTACTTTGTACAAAGCATCTTGTCTCTGCCCTCTAAAGCAGACTGCAAGTCTTAAAATATGCATAATCGAAGAAATGCTTGTTTACCTTTTGAAAATGAGAAGAAAAGTTGCTTATGCTTGTCTGAGAGGCTTAAGATACTACACAAGGTGAAGACCACTGGATCCAACAGGCTGTGATCTTCACAGGTTTAAATCCATCCACTCTTCCCACAGCAGCAGGTTTGTCATCCTACAAGGTTTGGCAAACTTCTTAAAGTAAATTGGGTTTGTTCCATAACTCTAGGACACTGGGCTGAGTTTCTCATAAGCAAAGTATTCTACGCTGTTTTTTTCCTTATACAGAAACAGGTCAAATATGGCTATTATGGAAATATGAGGGAAGGTATTCATTTTTGTTCTTAGGAATATCTTACAAAGTCTCTCATTCCTACCTCTACTACCTTGTTTTCTATTTGGCATTCATTCAAATCATTCATTCAAAATAGAAAAAAAAAACCTTAAATTCTCTTTTCTATTTTATAGTGCCACTTAACCCAAACATACTATAGTTCTTTTTTTTTTTTCTTAAGAATAGCTTACTTCCCCATGGATACCTTGAACTAGTCATTTAAAAGGCTTCCCCTGGATGAGCTGTCTTTAAGCTAGAATAATTTGAAGAGTCACTAGTAGAGACCAAGGAACATAGAGATTGGAATTGAAAAGCAAAAGATTTATATGATCTGAAGAGAAATCAGAGTATAGGGATTGGAATTAAAGAGACACTTTTTAATAACAAAAATTACTATAATTCTCAAATTATGAATGTATCACATTAAGTTATTCATAGTGAATCTTAGGGCAAGACCAAAGCCCTGATTATAAATCTCAAAAAATTCAGAGAGCTAGAAAAAATACATTTAGTGTTTAAAATATTCCTAATTGCTTATCACCAAGTCTTACATCGAATGGCTAAAGAAAAATGAGACATAGAGTTCAATTAATGGCAGTTATAATTATTTTTTATGTGTAGTCTTGGAGAACAACAACAATAGCAAAAAAGGATTTTGCCAATGACATACTATTTCTCAAAAGGCTAACTGAGATTATTTGTTGGTAGATGAGCACAAAAGTTGGCTTAACAATAAGCTTTAGTTTGAGAACTAGGATCAATTACATGAAACTGTTCTGTTCTAAGTAAGCATCTTAGAGATTATTCTGTTACTGAAAAGTGATGAGTTGCAGCAGGTAATGAGATCTTATAAACCCAAAGAGGTTGTATAAGGAATGCTTCCTTTGGGCTGTTAATGACCATAGCTGTTCAACTTCAGTCTGTCCTTTGTGTGAATCATGGTCAATCATGATTGGTTATTTCTTTTATTCAACCTTTCTTTTAGTCAAGTCTATTGTTTGTTAAGAAGATACAATGAAAAAGTGTTGGGAAACAACAGTGGGAGATAGGGACATAGAAGAGAGGACATTCCTCTATCAAGTTAGTTCACACCTTAAACACATGAGAAAAAGCATCTAAGAAATACCATGATCATTGCTCCAAGTAGTCCTTGACCCAAGAGCTTCTGTCCTCAGGATGCTGTATTTTTTTGTGGACCACGTACTTATATGACCATCAGAGTGATAGACACATGATCTCTACCAATTGCATTACCTGCAAATATGACCTTTGCTGACCAGGTTATTGAAAGTCATATTCTAAGCAGTAATTCTAGAATAGTTCTTATTCATAAGATGAGACATCAGAAGGATGTAATGCCAAGGAAAATTCAAAGAAATATTAAAGCCCATGCTACTGCCATTTTCATAAAGAGAACAAGAGATTGTATTATAGTTGAATAGTTCTACAGTAGAAACATTCTAATATAAAATGTCAGTGAAAATACTATAAAAAATTCAATAGTATATTATCTAAGTTGACTACAAAGTATGTACCTTCATTGTGGCCTCTGCAAACTCCCTCACATTTTTTGTTATAACAATATAATAAGCAATACACCAGTACAGTTATGTAATGAGATAAATCATGAAATTATATAGAAAGAACTTGTCAAAAATCTTTAGTAAAAGAAAATCCATTAGAATGCTTTTAAACTTATTTTCATCGCAGCACCATGAGGATACTGGAAAGAAGGATAAACACCAATAATCAGTAACAATAAGTAGAAAAGTTTAGGTAGAAACAGTGCACTTTCATTCCCAGCATGAACGAATAAGACAAAGTGGGATAATTTACCAACTGCATAAAGCTTTGAAAGTCAAGTCCCTACCAAACCTAGAGGGACTCCTTCCATATTATCTGCATGGAAAGGTGATAACCAAGAGCTGTGTTTGGTTTTTAAATGATTGAGCTACTAGATACCAAGTACCTGGACTGCCTGTCAGAGTTCCCGTACCATAGGGGATTCACTGGTCTCTTACATGCTAAAGCTTATACTCCATTTTTCTTATCTCTAGATTATTAAATATAATAAGAGGATCCTACTCACATTTCAGGTAGAAGAGAAAAGGGACAGAGGACTATGTACAGGTAATTAGCTTTTTTCTTACTAGCCATTGTTTACTTTTTATCCAGCCCACTATTTTAGAATCAGGTAGAAATTATTATGCTCATATAATCTGAAATAAGAACATGTCCACTCACATGGCTAAACACTGAAGGCATAGGCTAAAGATATATTGCCAGAAGAACTTTCCAATACAGTCAACGGCAGAGATTAGTTTGCCTAGCACTCAATCTAACATTTCTGGAAATATGCAGGCTACTTAATTGACTTGAAAGATTATAATTGATTATATTCATCCATCTTTTGTTTGAAACCATTCCTAGTCACTCTAGAAGGGTAAACTTAACATTGTGAAAGGAATAAATCTGAATTCCTTCCTCAAGGATTGCCCAGAAATGATATCTCATTCCCTATATGGGAATGGGATGACTTTCAGAGCCTTCATTATGCTGAAGGCCACAATGGAAGTTGTTTCCAAGATATCATTTGTGAGCTTAGAGCTATAAGAAAATTACCCAAGACCTTAAGACCTTTCAAAGTTAGATGAGAAAGTGCTGTTTAGTCTGTTTTGTGGATGCAAGATCCCAGCCATATTAAATGGTGGAAAAGAAAAAAAAAAAACTTGCCAATGCGAGTCTTTAATACTACATGGGGTACCCCTACATATACTACATTTGTCAAGTTAAAAGCCAGATATTTAAAATTTAAGCAGAAGTTAGTTCAAACAGAAATTTACAGATATGCTATCATTTTCATTGCATGTAAAACAGGATCTCCCCAAAAAAATGAATCTGGAATTTTCCTTTAGCTCTGTACCTGGTGCTGACCAACATGGGACTCACTGGCCATCTGTGACAATTTAGACTGAAAGTTTGTAACAGCCAAAATTCAGTCACTCAGTTGGACTACCCATATTTCAAATGCTCAATAGCTACATACACTTAGTGGGACCATGTCAGAGACTTAATGTGGCACTGTGTTTCTTATTTCATTTTTTGGATACTTAAGACTTGTGTCACTGTTTTTTTTCTACCAATTTGTTTTTGTTTTTTCCTTGAACAACTTCTTCTTCTTCTTCTTCTTCTTCTTCTTCTTCTTCTTCTTCTTCTTCTTCTTCTTCTTCTTCTTCTTC